TTGGACCCTGGCGCGTGGGGTTTATTTGACGGCTACGGTGCAGACAAATGAGAATCTTTTTAAAGCTCGACGAGCATTGAAATTGGGATATCCTATAATTTTTTTTTTTTTTTAAATTTAGCATGTCATCTTAAATTAGTTGGCATTTTTTTGGTTTGTTAATTTTAATTAAAAAATTATTATTTAAAAAAATAAATTATCAATACAATTTCTTATCGAAGTTCAATATTTTACAAGTTGCAAGAGATTATAAATTATTATAACTTATCATGTAATTTATTCTTGATATATTTCCCTAAAATTAATGAAATTATAAAATCTTATTAAAATATAAATTTGAGTAATAGGCTAATAGCTTTAAATTTTTACCTATCAATTAAAGTATGTCATATATACTCGAGCATTTGATAATGTTTTTTTTATTAATTATGTTTAATCGCTCGTGAAACGAGTTGAGCGATGAGTAGTATACCTATTTTTTAGATATATATTTAATAATTGTCAAATAAAATAAAACGAAAACGGTTAATTTTTTTTAAGAATTAATACAGTCTGTACTAATAAGATTTTATTAATTTAACAAAATATGAAATTATTTAATAAATAAATTAGTACGTTTTTATGAATGAAGATGAAAAAAATTATTATTTAAGTAAAATTATTAATTTATCGATTACTGTATATTAGTTTTGGTATTCATCACAAGTTTACACTATTTACTTATATTTATTTAAGGGTAAATAGCACTTAGCCCCCTTGTGGTTTCCACGTTGTGCACTTTACCCCGCTCTGATATCAATTTGGTCATTTTACCCCCTTGTGGTTGACAAGATGTAGCGGCCGTCTGATATACCGTTAAAGTTAACAGAAAAGGTTAAATGTCTGAACTACCCCATCATTTTCCTACAATTTGCAGGTTATATTTCATTTTATTAATAAATAAAAATTGGATTAAATTAGAAATAAAATCAATTCATAGGACTAAAGTACAATTATCAAAATTGTTTCTTCTCCTCGCCTTCAGAACCCCAGAACTGTTCCAGACCCCTTAAAAACAAATTCCAAGAAAATTACATCCAAAAAACAGAGGAAACATCCCAAAAATTTCATGTAAAAAACCATTGTTCGAGTTTTTTTGTCTTCTCGGGCGAACATCTCAGATTTCTAGGGTTTCGATTCTTCTTTGAAGTTCTCAATTTTGTGAAGAATTTGGTTGGGGGGTTTGATATTTTACGGTTTCATAAATATAAATATTTTGTATTATTGTAGACACATAAAATATATTAGATTTCAGGATCTTGAATCGGGGCATTGAGTTGGGTGAAGGAGGGGGTATGTGAATGGGAAGCAGGAACCCCAACCAGATTATGGCCTCCGAAATTTTCCAGAAAGAAACGTGCGTTTTTTTCGTCGGCGGCGGGTCGATTAAATCATCTTCTTCATCCACATTTTCCATTTTCTTACATCCGTTTTTCTCTCTCTGTTTTTTTTTCATCAAAAAAAAGATTAGGCTGCATAAATCAACCAACCATTATTAAACCTTATTTTGTAACTGATTTTTTTATGGATTTTCTTTCGAATTTTTTAATTAATTTCTTTATATATATATATATATATATATATATATATATATATATATATATATATAACATTTTATTTTTTAGCATCAGTTGTAAATTTGTTTTCATCCCATAGCGTAGCAGATGATGATTATTAGCTGTAAAAGAATTCATATATGTATTTAAACAATAATTAATTTAAAATTTTAAAAAATTATATAGTACAGAATTTAAATAAATCTATTTTGTTTTTTTAATTAAAAGAAAAGTGAGAGATTGGTGTAGGGGTTTTTATTGAAAGAAAAGGGGCAATATGGTTATTATCAGGAATTTTAGCTTGCAAAACCTTCAACCACTTCAATTTTAGGCGAGTGAGATGCACTCTCCGCTAACTTTCACGGATTATTAGACGGCCGCTACAATCTGACAACCACAGAGGAGTTAAATGCTTAAATTGATATCAGAGGGGGGTGAAGTGCACAACGTGAAAACCACATGAGTGTTAAGTGCTATTTACCCTCTATTTAATGTCTTTTAAAATGAAAAGTAAATCATTTAACGGAACTGAAGCGGTTACAATTACATATAGCACTTCGTTCTCAGTTTCTAGGTTTTCAGCCACCGCCCACCTTCTCTTCCCCTCTCTAAAATCTCTTTTCTACGGCAATTCAAGGATTTGAGAGAGAGAGAGAGAGAGAGAGAGAGAGAGAGAGAGAGAGAGAGAGAGAGAGAGAGAGAGAGAGAGAGAGTTGAATTGTTAAGTTATGGCGGAACCTGAAGCTCCTCTGCGTTACGTCGGAGTTGATCGAAGTTCCGCCGCCTTCCGCCTCATGAAACATATGGTAATACCTTTTTCCGTTAGCCGATTGTTCATTGATATATACTCTAATGTGCGTAATTATTCATTTAAAAATTGATGCGATTTATTTTCAGATTAATTTTCTGCTCAAACTGTGTCCACTAGATTGGGAATAGGAAATTAGGTTTCGCTATCGAATATTATTAACACCAAATCGATATGGATTAAAAATGCGTAATAATGCTGCTTGATCATACAGTAATTGAAATACGCCGCTTACGAACCCTTCGTCTTGCGTTTCAATATGTTTACATTTGTTTCCGTATTTGTCAAAAGGCAGACGTATGTCGCATTTTGTTTATTCAGTATCGTCTTTTGCGGCTTTCTGATCTAATAAATCATTTTTTATGTGAAATTGAGATATTTATCTGTTTGTTTAAAGTGCCGTTGACTATTTGTTGCTCAATGTACTGTTTGTTCAGGGATGGGAAGAAGGAGAAGGTCTCGGTAAAGAAAAGAAAGGAATCAAAGGATATGTTCGGGTGAAAAACAAACAGGATACTTTAGGTTGCCTTCTTATTTGCCATCTCGTTTATTTCGCTCTGAAGAGATACAGTTAAACAGATACAGTTAAACGCCTATAAATTAATATAGTCGGGACTAGCGAAAGTCTATTAATTTTGCGAAATATTAAATTATCGAACTAATAATTTAATACGTTTACTACGAGTCAGGACCGGGAGAAATTATTATTTAAGCGAGATTATTAATTTATCGAGATTCAACTGTGTTTTTAAGTAACCATTATTTTTTTTTCTGGTGCGTATAGGTATAGGCACAGAGAAACCAAATGCATGGGCTTTCGATACGACTCAATTCGATAGTATCCTCAAGAAACTGAAAGTGGTAAATTCCATCTCTTTCCAGTTTCAAGTTATATATACTCTGCACTTATTTTCCAATTCTCTTTTTTTTTTTTTTTTTTTTTTTTTTTTTTTTTTAATTATTGAATTTGCTTTCTTGTCTAATTTGGCAGCAAGCGGTTACAATCAACAAGGATGAAGGTATTATCACGCAATAGAGAATTTGAATTGGTTTTAGGTCCATCAAAATGACTTCTTAACGTTCGATTTTACTGCATGTAACAGTTGACGATAAAGATGAAGAAATAGTAGCCGAAAAATGCAGCCCTTCCAAGGACAAAAAAGAAACAGTTGTCAAGGTTACTCGACCACAAGGAAGGTTGGTACATACTTTTAGCATCAATCTCGTCTTTCTCTTACCATATACGCAACATGTTTTTTAAGAGTGTATGAATTGCAATTTTATGTCCAGGTATCAAAAAAGAGAGAAGGGTAAGCTGGTTCATGCGTATTCTGCTCGGGATCTTGAAGGAATTCTTGTAAGCACTACTTGGTATACCAATTCTGTCTATTTTATTACTGTTATCATGGGAATTATGTTGAACGAAACATATTTTTATGCTTGTCTCTAAAAAGTTTCCGGAATTAATTTTTATGTTGTAATATCGGTGAAGGCAACATGTGTATAGCTGTACTAAAGATATGAATGGGACATGTGGTTTGGTTGATTTAGATTAGCTTCGGTCATTTCTCGTCTAGTTATGTTTAAGCACTTAAGCCTCGTTTGGTTGGGGAGATTAGCCATGATTAACTAAATAATAGGACTTTGTTTGATGTTTGGTATCCCCAATAACTTTGTCGATGAAGAAATATTATGTTATTGTGGCTTATCTTGCCTTCTGGGTATGTTTGTTATTGGATCATCGAAGCTCCAATAATATAGTTGGGTTTCATTTTATTATTTAATCTTATCCTGGCAACCAAACGAGGCCTTAATGAGATGATTTTATCCAGGTAAACAGGGCTAAATCTCCCAAGACTAATTATGCTTCGGACGCCTCAGAAGAAGAAAAATCAATTGAAATTAATCTTCTTGATATAGAAGGTAACTTTCGATCCATATGGTTAAATGAATGTTTAAAATTCATTACCCGTGGAGTTAGATTTATAATATAATTGGTTCCCGTTTTCTGTTGGAGTTTGACAATGTACTTCTCGATTACAATTTCTTTTGCTCGTCTTCGTTAGCTGTGGATTTGCCCTTGATTAATTAATTATTATGTAATAGACCATGTGATAGGAGAAGTTCAAGATCTTCCACCAGAGTGGTGGGGACACAAATTAGGGTTTATTTCTGGAGGTTTGCTTGGTGCCGAGTCTAAAAGAAGGAAGTTGCTCATGTCGAAAAATGATGAAAATTCAAATGTCAGAACTATGTTCAATGAGGACGATCAAGAAAATCTTTACACCTCGTTCAGGTATATTGATTCTTGTTCTTTGTTTTTGAGTACTTTTTCTACCTTAACTCGATCACACACATTCCAATATGAAGTAAACTCGTCGGTGTACTCTTTTTGCAACGTAGCAGAGCCAATTGCATAATTTCAATGGAATCTTTTTGACAAGATATTCTCCGTTTTCAGGACAAGGCGACATCTGGAAAACAAGGCCTCGGTATAAAGGACCTTCCTAAAAAAGTTGCGGGCTGCTTTTTCGAAGGAAAAAAGACAACTTTCAGTGATAGTGATGATGACGAGGATTCTTCGAATCCACGTTCTTCAGTCGTGAAAAGGAAACATGAAGAAATTTTGGAGATGAATAAACAGAATCCAAAAATTAATACGAAGTTGTGTCAGAAGATTCTTCAGCAGGTCTTGGTCTTGAGATTTCAAAACTAAATTTTTGCTTCTTGTTTATTACCAACTTTTTTATATGAGTTTCTTTCGTTACAGGCACCTGGTGAGGTATTAAAGCTGAAGCGGCTCAAAGAACTTGTTGATGAACAATCGCCTTCTATTTTTTCCAACTTTTCTTCAAGAGAGGCAGTTGATTGTTTAAAGAAAATGGTATAACACGTCATGTTTCCATAGTTGTGGGTTTAAGTTTTTCGAGCTTTTCAAGTAATCGAGAACTCTGTTTTGTTTTTTGCTGCAGCTTGAGAGCAGTGCCAGGTTTTCAGTGAAGGGAAAGAAAGTCGCTCTCTTGTAAACAAGCTGATGGAAAATTGCTTTGGTACTTTACCTACATAATGACGATGTGTACATTTGTCATCAAGAAGAAATTTGTAGGAACAATTGTTTCAATTATCAGAGAGCAAATATTTGTTTTTATTGTCTGTAATAATTTTTTGTACTACTAGGTCTATTGTTTTAGATCAATTTTAAACATATATATATTCAAGCTTTTGAGCGACTCAATTAGTAGGTGAATTTTTTACAATATCTGTTCTCGAAACTTGCTTGTGAATTCGGTCTAACAGTTGGCTTGGAATATGTATTCCAAATGACGATCCTCGAACCGAATTTTGTATGTATTCGAAATGTTGACTTTGTAAGGGTCTTTTAAAAGGAGTGACAATTTGATTTTGTACAATTTTAGAAGTATCGTTTTCAACGGTGCCGTGGATAACATATTATTGTAGATTTACGCACAATTACACAAAATCTACAGTGACTCACTTGTATTGGATAAATGCGATATACCTGTGAAGTTTGCCGGGTGTGATTAGGAGCTGATAAGCTGTTAGATCTTATTTTAAAAATTATTTTTCAAGGTGTTTGGATATGTAGCTTATAAGTTACTTTTTGTTTTTATAAGTTGTTCAGGTGTTTGGAAATAAAATGTCTGTTTATTGCTATAATGACAAAAAAGTACATGACATTGTTAAACTTATTTCACTCAAATACTTTTGTTCCTAAAATATTATTATAATATTTACAAATTATTTTTCAAATAATAATAATAATACAAAATTATATAATAGTATAAAATAAAACTTGTAAAAGAAATATAATTTTTTTTAGATGAAAGAAATATAATTTATTATGGAGATAATAAGAATATTCGTGTATTTTTATATATATATATAATATAAATAGAGAATAATTTTTTTTACAATTATTATGATAATTACGATAATTATATTTAACTAATTATTAATCTTGATTACAAGAATACGTTGTTTTGATAAAATATAAATATTATTAGTATTCATGTAATATAATAAAGTATTTGAAGGTAATTTTGTATTTTAAGTGTTTTAGTAAAGAAGCAAATAAGATCTTAAAGAAAAAAGGTGGGGTAGAGGTACTTTTTTAAAAACATCTTATAAGCTCCCTAACAGCTTATTTTTGGAAAAAATAAGATCTTTTGCAATTTATTTACCAAACACTTTTTAACAACTTATAAGCTCCTAAACATCTTATAAGATGTTTTTAGGAGCTTATAAGCTTAGCCAAACATGCTCTAAACCACTTTTGAGGAGAAGCTAGCGAGCGTCGTAATTATATATAATCAGCTTGTACAATTTTCTTTCCTATGTACTTGGCCAAGAAATCAAATCCATGAAAGTACAGAGCTTCAATTTCTGCTCTCTGACCACTTTGTACCATGAACGACAGCTCTTCCTTATACTTATCCTGTAACACACACAAATATACATCTAAATGCATATATATAACTATGTGTGTGTGTGTGTGTGTGTGTGTGTGTGTGTGTGTGTGTGTGACTATTTGATAATAGCATTGGGCAGAATTGCTATGAGCAGAATTACCTGCAAGATCTCTGAGGAGGACAAGCTTTTGGCAATTTGATGATCCCGCGGCTTCAAAGGGATCAAAGATTCTTCGGGTACTAGTTGTTCGATGTCATCCTTGCGTAATCCAAGCCACTTCACATTGCAAGCTACCACGAAATAAAACAAGTCACTTTCAGTTTTTGAGACTGCAAACAATTATAAAAAGGTTTTTTTTTTTGTAATCAGATTGGTAACAAACTACCCTATGTTCTTTTATTGGCAAGACCCCCTATAATTTAATTTTTTTGGCTCACAACCCCCTAAGCAGGGGTAATAATTGCTAAAAAAAACTAAATCAACATGGGGTTTTATTCCAATAAAATAACATGGGGTAGTTTTTTTAGAAATTAGATACAACACAGGGGTACTAATTGCAATAAACTCTCACAAAAAGAGGGTCAGAAAAAGAGCACCATATCGATATGCCTCCAGCCCCATTGCAATACTTCCAAACTTGAATATATATATATATATATATATATATATATATATATATATATATATATATATATATATATATATATATATATATATAAGTAACAGTTATGTAGATCAATGGTTACTCATACCAGTCAACGAGCCCTAGAATCGGTAACTCAGGAAATTCTCGACTCATTCGATGAAGAAGAAGCCTGCTGGGCCATTTTCGAAACTTCGATAACATTGATATAACCTCCCAAATAGCTAGGACCATCATCATTATATTCAGATTAAATTACCTGGTACCAATATCTGGATAGCCTTTGGCTGTGATGAGAATACACGGGATTTGATTGAATACACGATCCTCAGCTAGTCTCTGAAATATGGCGTGCTGTAGGATGCTACTAAACATTTCAATAAACTCGTTCCACGAGAAGCGATAAAAAGCATATGTTTTTTGTGCCGTGTATTTTTCAAGAAAGTGAATGTGAAGCAAGCAAACATTTAGTAGTACCTTCTCGACCACAATGATATATCTAGCATCACTCTTCATCACCAAATTTTCCAGCAAATTTAAGTCTCCGGAGATTACGTAACCAGAAGACCCGCAAGTAGAACAGTCCACAATCTCTTGGTTCGGCTCCTTCTCGATATAAATATAGAAACATATAATCAGGAGGACAATCCATCGTCTATTCAAACTTCCATTACTAGCTGTATTATTCTACTTTATGCTAACCTTCGTTTATTGTCGATTAGACGTTCGAAAAAAAAAGAAAAGAAAAAACCATACATTATTAGCATAGAATGAAAGTTCAATACGTGCCTGAAGCAAAAGACGACCAGCTACTGCTCCTCTGCTCGAAGCCATGATGCCAAGGCTATATCGGCTGCACCTAACCAATGCCACCAAATCTACCTCGCGTAAAATACGAATACAAAACATTTCATTCAAAAGCTTTAATTGCAATGCTGCTATTAGGAAATGATAAATTCAGAAATAAACCTTGAATTGTTCGGTTGACCTGTAATTGAGACGTAAAATAATGAGGCGAATCGCATAGCAATTTGTAAAATAACTCCCTCTGAGTAACTTTCTTTTCTTGAACCAGTATCTGATAACACATCTCCATCACCTTCCACACTATGCACACCGGAAATCAAATTTAAATTACAATAAAAAAAATCGAACACGTCGATTTATACGATAAATTGCAAAATATCCAATACGAAATCGAAGCAATTCAATACCTCGAATAAATGAATTAGCAGTGTTCTCATTCATCAAAGATTTCGTGGAAAACGAATGCGAAAGAAAAATCTTCGAGTCGTCAGTAAGTAATCCCCGACGCACTCTGCTATTCCCCATTTTCCTGCTAATCTATTTTGCAGATTTACGACTCAAATTGTAAGTTACACTACATAACGTCGTCGTTTCCACCATTGGAATTTCCAGAAAACTCGAAAATTCGAAACCACCCAAAATTATGAGAAAAAAATTATCATACCAGAGGTAGATCTGTTACTTCCGGATTCGACGAATTTAGATTTTTCAGGAAATTAAGGATTGCAACTTCGATCCGAGCTCGAACCTGAAATTAAACAAAAAAAAAATCAAAATTGGAATAAAATAAACGTAATGCAATAAAAATCCGATGCCGGAACCTCTGACGGAGGAAGGATATCGGCGTGGCAAAGGTGTTGATCGGAGAAGAGAATGGAGTTCTTCGATAGTTCTCCCATTTTCTCGAGGCGACGAAGAAGAAGAATTTTGGTTTAATTTTTTTTAGAGGGATACTGGGAAATTTTGAAATGAGATTGTATATATTTGTTGGGCCGGGCTGGGCCGGGCTTATTGTGGGCCTTTTTTGAAAAATATAACTAAAATTCCAAGGGAATCTAAATTGATCCGAAATATTTTGGGCTTTGCTTACTGAAATATTGAATTTTTTAAGATATTGTTCAAAATTCAAATAGTTTATAATTACTATTTGATTCTAAAATTAAATTTAAATTAATCAAAAAATAAAATTTAAGTGAAATTTAAAATAAATCTAATTTAAATGAAGAAAATTAGTGTTGGATTTATTTTTATTATTAAAAATAAATTATGTAGAAAAAATAAATTTTTTTAATATTTAATATTAATTATAATAAATTGAAATTGTAAGTTGTAAATATCTAGCAAAGAACTTCTGTGAACAAATTGGGTGTTGGGGTTGATCCTATTCTATGAACTCATGATATTTTCCTACACAAAGAATAAAATAAAAGGTCAATTATTGCGTGCAAAATAACTAAATTAAGTTAAATTAAATAAATATTGAAATAGGGTTATAGCTGCTTCCAGCGTAAAATATTGAATAGAATACCGACGTGATTTGGAAACTTTGTGAAAATATAAAAAAAGATTCCCCACGCCAAATTGCCCATTGCTTTCATTACTTCTACACCATTTCTTTGCGTGCTCTCTCCCTACTCTATGCACAATGTGTACCCCGTAAATATGTGCCTACAAAGATCGTATCGAATCGAAATTAGCATTTTCGAAAAAAAATAACAATAATCGAATCCCATTTCAAAAATATTTCAAAAAATAGGTTTTTCCAAATTGGAATTAAATCAAAATTAAAAAAAAAAAAAAAAAGAAATTGGATTAAAGAAGAATATAATCAAAAACTCTGATTTTAGTTATTCGCGTACAATATAAAATACATAATATATAACACCTTATATATAAAAGGAGTTAACTCTAGGGCAACCCTAGGCCAACTCTAATTGGATTTTTGTAATTATATTTTTAAATTTATTTTTCTTTTATATATAAAGATTTTCTAATTATAAAGAAAATCAAGAATCCAACATATATATCAATATTTTCTAATTTGATATAAAGATTTTCTAATTATTTTTCTTTTATATATAAAGGTTTTGTATAATTCCCCAACCTTAAGTTAGTAAGCATTCTACACCTATATTTGTATTTCTCATATTAATTAGGGTAAATTACACCTCTTTCTGACGTAGGGTTTATTTACGAAAACCCCAGTTTTTCATAATTACGCCCACCCCTGCAAATTGAGTATTTCTTAAATTAACACCCAATTGTAGGTGGTATGTGTAGGAAATTTACAAATTGCAGGGTATTGAATGTAATATCTCAAAACAAAAAAGATACTTTTACAATTATCATTTACCTCATGTACTTGGTTGTAATTTTCCCTATTAATTATACATATACATGCTATACGTACTACATAGACGTTAGATAAGATTAATTGAGCATGTACTATATGGTAGAATATTCTCAATCCTAGTAACTAATTAAATGATCAATTAAGCAGATTTTAATTGAAAACCATAGCTTGAGAGCTTAATTAGTAATTCGTCCTCCATTTCAAATATATTATCCTTACGGGTCCATTTTGATTCTCCATATTAGGCGAGTCATTCATCTTTCGCGCTATTTACTATTTTGTTTCGATTGCATGGATCAAATTAATTTGGATTGAACCGTAATTTTTTACTGTCTACTTCATTAGTCAGTTCGTAAGATGTTCGATTCCTTGTATTAGATCTGCCAAATGTGGAATTAAATGCGATTTCTTAACAATACCCCTAATTTAACAATAAATAAATCCCAATTTGTACTATTTTAGGGATAAATCATCCATTTTCAATAGCTATGCATAAAACTCTAAGCATATAAAATAGTTATATCTTCATATATATATATATATATATATATATATATATATATATATATATATATATATATATATATATATATATATATATATATATATATATATATATATATATATATATATATTTCAACATTAATCTCCTATTTTTCAGCAATTAATCCCAAATCTCAACAAAAAAAAAAACAGGTGTAAATTACGTATATAATTCTTTTCTTAAGAAATTTCCAACACCTATATAATTTATCCTATACATATATTGGTATGTTTTAGGTTCATGGGGATGTAATAAATATAAGCTAATAAATTATAATACATTATTATAAATACATAAATAATTAGGCATGTAAATTATACGACGGTGGAGTAATGGTCCCGAATAAAGTCCATTCTCCTATATGTATATATATACATACATAAATATATCCCCTAAAGTACACGTTAAATAAATAATAATGCAACTTGTGGAGGGATAATATTTTCAAGGATCTATTACATAAGTCCAGCACCGTTATTTGAAAGCTTTCATGCGTGGAAATTAAACCACTACTATATACATCTATAGCTACCCCCCCTAACTACTATGTATCTATCTAACTTTTGGGTTGCATGCACAACTTGCAACCGTATGAAAACGATTGTTTATTTTCTCCGTGTCGAAATATTTATCGTGTGTCTCGTTCAGTGGCGGAGCCAGGAATTTCAGATAGGGTGGGCTTAACATTTACAGGAGTTCGGGGGCAGTGTCCCCGAGATTTTTTTTTATAATTCATTAACATAAAGTAGCACAAAATAACTATAAATTTATAAAATTTAACTAATAACACATACGGTTGCTGGTCTCGTTGTTGCATAAATTTTAAGACAATTTATTGTAAATATACGAAAAAACTTACTACAAAATCTCAGTTAATTAAGAGCGATAAGGGCAGAACTGAAAAAAATTCAATTAAACATCACTGTAAACCTAAAATGACAAATAATTTGAACTCCAGAGCGACAACATGCACGGAGAGTCTTGTTTTTTATTCTTCGAGTGCTGATAAAAATTAGGGTTTTTAAAAACCGGAAAGTTACGGGTTGGGGTTTTAATGAATAAGAAGGAAGTGGGAACAAATCGACTTTTGTAGTAATACGTACTTTATTCGTTCGTTTTGATGCATATTTAAACAAAAAAGTTATACTTGATATTATGATCTATAGAATTTGTTATATAAATCAACGAAAACGCTAAGAATTCGTAGTACAAAGCCTTCTGCTACGATTTTACTACGAATTTTTCAAGCAAGGTAAATATTATCCCTTTTCTAACTTGGGAAATTTGAAAATTATTTATAATAGTTTGAGTTAAAATAGGTTTAGCCTTTTATGGTTAGGCAACTTTTTTGAAGAAAAATATACCAATTATGTAGATACATTGAAATTAACTAAGTAAAGAAGTGGTCAAAGAAACTATTTGCGTGGTCTAGACTCTATTGATTAATTAATTAATTAATTAACTAGTTAATCGTCGTACAGATCATTAAATTCATTTTTAATGCCCAAAATATCAAATTCTACATAATTAAATATCAAAGACAAAAAATATGTTTCCTCCCGAGTAGGGCAAATTAAGGTATTTTAATTGTTTGAATTGATTGTCCACATTTTTCTAATCGAGCCAAGGACACTAATGACTCTAATAAACTACGTAATTTATTTATTTAGAATTATGTACAATACTACAATATAATAATTTTATCTATGTGCATTTTTAAATTGGACTGGACAAAGAAAAATAATAAAATTTAAAAAAATGGTTGCCCTTCATTGCATCTCTTGATTTAGTTAAATTGTAAAACACGTCGGGGATCGCCTAGTGGTCGGAGCAAGTGAGCTAATTGTGTTGATTGACCAAAGTTTGAATCATCTTGCCCAAGGTTGTTAGGTGGAGTTTGTCACACATGGTTAGCCTAATGAGGTTTACGTCTCTCGTATGGTTTTTTGCAAGCTATTATACGATAATGTAGGTTTACCTAATGCACATATATGGTTACTTGCGGGTGCCTTCATTACAGAAAAAAATAAATTATAAAACACATATTAACTAATCCTTTTGTTCCACAATATCCGTCTCTTTTAAGAATTTATTTTGTACCATATTATCTATCACTTTACAATTACAATGCTGCATTAGTTACATATTTTTCAATAATACCCTTTTTTACTCTCCAACATTATTTCAGCATCAATTAATAAAGAAGAGTATTTTGGTCTATCAATATATTTATTGAAATTTTTAAAACTTCCGCCAAAGTGGAAAACTATACATAATTAGAACGATGCGAGTAATTCTTATTTTATATATTTTCTTAGATTGTAAAAAGAGTAAAAAGTATGCATGCAATAATAACGTATGCATGACGCCAGCAAAACTTTATTATATATTGCGTATATTAATAGCCATGGAATAAGACATTCTCTCTCTCTCTCTCTCTCTCTCTCTCTCTCTCTCTCTCTTAATAATAATTTGTTGGCTTTTATATATCAGTCCAAGTTTTGTTCTTAGTTCTTCGAATCCCAGTCAACAATGAGAACTCAAACGGCGGTTTATCGGTGAAAGCGTGTTTCCCCATTTGTGCTACGTAATTCTCTCCCCCTTTGACATTTTTCAAAAGTCAACCAATTCCAATTTTTTAAATCAAAATCCTATACTTGCCTCTTCACTTCACTAGTTAATTTTTATATATATATATATATATAATTAAACACCCTCCTTTTAAAATATCCCATTAAAAAAGAGAGTTCCAAAGTCAAACTTATAAGCTAATTATCTATCATCCCCTCTCTCTCTCTCTCCTCTTTCTCTCTCTTCTCTTTCATAAATATATGGCTGATCAATTGGTAGCTGACATGGAGGACTGGAGTTTGCAAGCAATAGTCAGAGGATCCAGCGGCGACTACGCTAAGATCGCCGATACAGAAATGGACGGCCACGATTCGTTCTTCGACAATCACGACCAATTCGATCCTCGGGAGTTTCTTTCCTCCTCCGCGGCCGGTTTCCCCGAGATGTTCGCCGGTTCGAGCGAAGAATTACAGGAGCTCTACAAACCGTTTTACCACCCGGCGGCTGTAACTACCACCACCACCACCAGTACTTCCCCTCCGGTTCATACGGGTACGGTTCTTGATTTTCAACAAGACCAAAAGCTTCAGAACATTCTCGAAGACGATAGTAAACAAAAGCTTGCTAGGGTTTCGCCTGCTGCAGCAGCATACACACCCAAATACAAGAAAAGGTTGGTTATTAATTAACAAATAAAAAAAATAAAAAAATTAATAATATTTAATTTATATTATTACTTATTATTTATTTTTTATTTGTTTTTGTAATTAAAAAGGAAGAATCAGCATAAAAGAGTGGTGGTTCAAGTTTCAGCTGAGGGTCTTGCTTCTGATATGTGGGCTTGGCGTAAATATGGCCAAAAACCTATCAAGGGTTCACCATTTCCAAGGTTCTTACTTTCTCTCTCACCCACTAACACACACACCAAAAAACACACATATTTTTACGTACAGTAAAATTTCGATAAATTAATAATAGTTTCTTCTGGTCCCGACTCGGTAAAAACCTACTAAATTATTAGTTCGGTAATATTTAATATTCTGCTAAATTAATAGAATTCTGCTAGTCCCGACGACTGTATTAATTTACAGAGATTTAACTGTACGTATACTGCTGCAGGAGTTATTATAGGTGCAGCAGCTCAAAGGGCTGTTTGGCAAGGAAGCAAGTTGAGGAAAGCTGTACGGATCCCGGAAAGTTCATTATAACCTACACAGCAGAGCACAGCCATAGCCAGCCAACAAGGAGGAACTCCTTAGCTGGCACCGTTAGGCAGAAATTCCCATCCCCATCTTCGAAAACTACCCCGAATAATAATATTTCTAGACCTGCCAAACAAGACCTTAAGGCTGCTGACGTGGCGATGAGCCCTCCTATGAAAACCCTAGCTGATGATCATCATCACGAGGCGAGAATTAAAGAAGAGATGATCAATAGACAGGAAAAGGAAGGTGTGGTTGAAGAAGATGGTGGGGATTTTATGGCGTCGGATTTTGTGTTCAACGAGGAGTTTTTTTCCGGGTTGGAAGATTTCGATCAGTTTATGGCGGCGGAGTTGCCTGGTTGCCATGCTACTGCGCAGCAGTTTCCGGTGAGATCTTGTAGCAGCTGGTTTTAGGGTTAGTTATTAAGGCCTTTTTCACAGTTAATTAAATATATTTGCTTCTAGTGAAGAATATTATGTGCAACATCAGTTGCATATACATATATATATGTACGTAGTGTTTCGATTCGAGTTTTAATTTATAGAGGAATTCGGTGTATAGTGGAAATTAGACGAACGATCCGGAACGAATAATGAATACATTACAATCTTTGTTAATGCAAAATCACTGATTTCAGTTTTCTTTTGTTTCTTTTAAAGTGATGTTTATATCATATGGAAATCAATTAAGAAAACTATTAAATAATCTCGGTTTTAGAAGCTTTTTAATATGGAGTAGCAAATTATAAGTATCTCGGAAAACAATATTTGTCGCGTCCGCATTCGAATCTAATACCCTCGTCGACAAACCGAGAAATTTTGAAATCTTGATGTATATACTTTTGTTTCTAACATTTCATTGATTGAGCATCAAAATGTTAATTCTTAATGGTACACCATGTGTTTCATATCATTCGTATCAGTAAGGTGTCGTTTGGAGTTGATGCACATATATTAAAAAAATTAATAAATTTTAGAGGAAAGAGAAGCATAGAATATTACTATAATACCCTTCATATTAATAAGGCTCCAATAAAATGCAAAATTGAGAAAATAGTAAGAACAGTTTATGGCTGAAATTCTCAAGTAAGCAATAAAATGTAATTCTAGAAAGAAATCTCCAATACCATAATTAATTTGAAAAAAATTGAATATAAGTCGTCATAGAAATTAACTTCAATTATAATTCGATGTAATATTAATTTATTTTGACTTGGTTTTTAAATGCAGTAATTGAATTAAGAACACGAGTCTCCGGACAAGATTAGCCGTGATTCGAGCAAGCAAACAAATTAAAGCCTCGTACGTGGGGTTGCATTATTATTAATATAATAATGTAATGGCAAACTGCCTCATAGTATGGAGCTTATTCCCATTTGTAACTGCCCTCAATCCAATATTATACATTTGACTGGGTTTTTTTTTTTAATTAATTTGTCTACATAATGTATGTATAAAAACATACACACACGGCACACACAATAACGCGTGTATTGCGTGTTTTTAGTGGAACTCCAGCTAAGGTTTGAATTACGCGCGCTACCAAGTATTATATTATATTATTATTTAATTATTTGTTTTAGAATTAATGGATTTTCAGGAGATAGAGAGTAAAGAATTTGTATTAATCAACAGGCGTTTCAGGAGATAGAGGGTGAAGAATTTTTGTATTCTTGTTAGAAATTAATGGATTTTGGATTTTCTAGTCAAACCATATAAAAATTCTATTGACTTTTCTTCATCATATCTCTAAGAGCTTGTTTGGTATATCAATCATTTTACAACTCATAGTTTAGGTACATAAACAACGACTTTCACATATTTAATTTCCAATTTTAATTTGTTTTTTTTTTCCTTTTCAATGAAGAGCAATCTCTTTTAATTCTGATTGATTATGTTTTTTTTTTTTCGTTTTCGTTATAGTAATGTAATGTGTCGGGCGACACACACTTCAATAGATGAAGCTGTGATAAGACTGAAACGACATAGTTTCCTTAGTCATGATCATAATCTCGTCTAGAATTCACTGGCGGATCAATCGAAGTAGCACACACACAAGCTCTCGAACACGTCAGATATGACTGAAACTCACAAACTCTGACCCCCGAACCACAAACTCACCAAATATGATCACCTCACTCGTGTTTCCCACATTCAGAACCCACTCACAAAAGAATGGAGAACTCGAAGAACAAAAATAATTAAAATTTGCATGTGTCATTTCTCTCTCTCTCTTATCTCTCTAAGGATTTAGGAGTTTGGAATATATATAGATAGGAAAAGTAAGACCGTCTCCCCAAAGAAAATGGCAACAATGGTACAACCATCGTCACTGTCGACTGAAATATCGCATGAAGCAGACAAGGTGAATTGAATGCAGTCGTACAGCGAAAGATCAGAAGATAATTAGATTTGAGAGATTTAAGTACCTCAAATAGATGGTCAAGATCAAAGTACCAAGGCGAACGGTCAGATCAAAGTTCGAGAGAGTTCCATCTGACGGACGGGCTTTTGTGTGCAAGTGGATCATTTGTTTCGGTTTGGCCGCCTCAAGTAGAAATGGACTAATGAGCCGAATTCTTGATAAATCCGTTTGAGCCCAAAATCCAACACAATGCAAGAGAATTAAAACATTATTTAACACTATAACAAATGCTGTTTTTTTTTTTTTTTTTTTTTCCTGAAATTCTTGAATATTACATTCTTGTAGTATAGATATTATACAGAGTGGAGTGCAATGTGTCTGCATCTCAGCATACATATATTTATGCATATAAATACGTATAAAATACACAATAAGTAAATATAATTCACTCAAATCTCAATACAGTATGTATTTACGAGACTGCCACAGCTTTCAAGTGTGAACACTCCTGTACGCTGCGGCGGCCAATAAAAGCAGCGACGGGCCCCACAAAAGCAGCATTTATATAAGTAGTGGGCTCCATATGTGAGTAATCGGATCTTGAGTCGGTGAACCGGTCATTCGAATCCGGGCCTCCGACAATCGCACCCGAATGGGTATTCGGGTTTGGTTTGGATGAAGAGAACCAGTTCGAGAATCCATCGTTGCAGCCCACTTTGGCCGGGTCGACCCGGATTGAAGGAATCGATGCGCCTCTGTGGTGTAACTGTGTTGGGTATTTGGGCCCGAACCCAACCATGTATGACATTTTCAGGGGATTGCTTCCGAGAATGTAGTCCACCTTCATAATTGAGATAATAATTATTTATTTTATTTTTAATTAATAAATGTCACAAAAGCATCTACTAGCATTAAAATAAATAAAAAAATCTACTCGCTAGAATTAAAAATGCTAATAAATATGCATGACCTCACAAAAAATATATAATAGGGTAAATTACAACTACACCCCTGAAGTATGTTAAAATAATTTTAAGGTCCTTGTAGTACCGCTAATTACAATTACCCCTGAAACATTGTTAGAAACCCTAACGGAATAGTGCATTAGATAAGTGTTCCGTTAGGGTACCAACGAACTATTAGTTTTAGCCAGTGGTGAAGACAACGTAGAGCTAGGTGGTGGCATGATTCTTCTAACATTTCTAAAATCCTTATTATTTTATATAAGATTTATAAAATTCCGTCTATGGTAGCATTAACAACCCCGCGCGAAACAAGTACAGTGCATATCGGTCTTCAAGACATGAAATCTTGGCACTAGTAATTGCTTCAGGAGTATGGTTGTAATTACCAATACCACATGGACCTTAAAGTTATTTTATCATACTTTAGGAGTATATGTGTAATTTACCCTATATGATATGGCTGAAATATCCTTTCATCTAATTTTATTTTTTGCACAAGTAAAACCGTATTTTTAGTTATGTTCCAAATTTTTTTTAGGAAAATGGAGTAATTAGAACTATGGAAATCAGAATTAAAAAAAATAAAAAAAAATAAAAAAAAATTAAAAAAAAATAAAAATTGGAATTTCGGAAATTTAAATCAGTAGAATTCAAAAGATCACCGTTTCTTTAATATTGATATTGCAAATGCTGTTTTCATAATTAAATTAGATCGAAAATCGAAATCTTATATATAATTCAATTCCGATAAAAAAGAAAATTATATACCAATTTCAAAACACATATGTTTGTGTGCATATATATATATATATATATATATATATATATATATATATATATATATATATATATATATATAACCTGTAATTTAGCAAAGTCATTGATCTTTGAGGCAGAGAAATTAACAGATCCACACTGAACTCCGTTAACACGAGCTGCTTCTAGAATCTTCGAGTAGACGACAAGTACCATCGAAGCACTAGTAACATACTGTATGTTACTGCTGTCTCTGGTATACAACAGCCCACCTAATTAATTTAATCACCATCTCATAGTTAATTAGCACAAACTAACCATGGTTAATTTAAACCCTAGGCACAAAATTAAATGCTAACCAGGGGTTGTCTTAATCTGGACAGAGCTACTTCCAGGCATCAATGAGCAGACAAATGAATCAGCACCATTCTTGTACTTGGACAAATTTGTCTTTCCCCCAAGAAATTCCTAATAATTGAAAAAAAATATATTATTATTATTATTATTAATTAATTAAAAAATAAATTAATGATTAATAGTTAATTAATTAATATATAGTTAGTTGCCTTTGCTAGTAAAGTTTGAGCTCCAGCAAATTTGTTATCCCAACTGAATTCAGATACAGATTGACTCCAGTCTTGATTTGTGGTGACATAGTTCAAATATGTGCTGTCTCCACTTGCTTTGTACAGCCATGCAGCTGCCCACAGCAATTCGTCCTTCGAAAAACAAAATCGGAATTGGAAAATCGGAATTTCAGAAATTGGAAATTGAAACTTTCGGGCCAAAATCGATTTTTTTTTTTATTGAAATCGACGAAATTCGTAAATTTCATGTTTCGTTCGCCTAAATTATAAATTAAATAATAATATTAATTTATAAATGTAATTTGGAAAAAAAATGGGATTAATTTTGAAAATCAGAATCAGGTCGAAAATCAAAATCTCGTGAATATTGCAATTCCGACTTTCCAATTTTCTTGATTTTTTTTTTTGGATAACGGAATTGAAATTATTATTTTTGTTTTTTGGAGGATGAATTGCTTCCTTTATCCAAAAAATCAAGAAAATTGGAATATCGGAATTTCAGAAATTGGAATTGAAACTTTTGTGCCAAAATCGAAAAAAATTGGATTGAAATCGACAAAATATAATTCGCAAATTTCATGTTTCGTTCACCTATGTAAAATGTAAAATACATAATAATATAATTTATAAACGTAATTTGAAAAAAAAAAGACAAAAAAAAACAGAATTAATTTTTGAAAATTAGAATCATATCGAAAATCAAAACCTCATGTATATTGCAATCCGGATCCAAATTCAGAAAAAACCGGAAATCGGAATTAATTTTAATTCGGGATGAAAAATGAAAAATATTGTTCCAAAAACAAAATTCTGATGTATCGGATATCGAAAATTACGTTCCGATTTATATCGATAATCGTGCACATTAATATATTTATTTATACCTGATAACCGGAGTAGGAGCAGTAGAATGGGCAAGATCCCTGGTAAGATCCTCTATATTTGTCTGCCAACTCAAACAACTGCCCAAGAAAAATAAAATAAAAAATAAAAATAATCAGTAATTATATATAAAAAAAAATAATAATCAGTAAATAAATCAGGCCACGTGGAGCTGGAGAATATTATTTTAAAGTATATATGTAGTGACCGATTTTGAGTGGCGTAAGAGGCGGGCGGAGTAGTTGGAATCAGCCTCTCTGAAAACAATGGACGCGGCGGCGAGTGCGGCGGCGGCCTCGGCGGCCACCTCACTTCCCGGCGAAGTGGAACTGATCTTGTAAAGTGTTCGCGGCGTGTCCATATCTTCCGGCCGCTCCCAGCACTGATGGTCTCTGTTTCCGTCACCCACCTATATATATATATAAATTAAAAAAATAATGTCATTCACATTTGAAAGGGTCACAGTGCTGTTACCTGAGCATAGAGTGTGTTGGAAGAAGTGTGAGCTCGGAGCAGGAAATCGGTGCCCCATCTGATGGCATTTTGGATATTTTTGAGCTGATTGGCTGAATTTATCTCGTTTTTATATTCAGTAGCAGCCCAACTCAACAAGCTTATTGAAAAAGCCATTGGCCACCCAAACTTCACATTGTCACCCGCATCATAATAACCTCCGCTCAAATTCACCTTAAAAAAATAATAATAATAATAAATAAAAATAAAAATAATAATAATAATTAATAATAAACCATGTTTACGTGTATATAATATATATACATACATTTTCAAGCTTTCCATCGGAGAGTGCAGAGTCAGCCCTCCACTTGACCCTTTGGCCAGCTGGCAGTTTTCCCGACCGTTGGCCTTCGAAGAACAAGATGCTTTTGTTTAGGGCATCCTTGTAATCATGTGTACTACTGGCCGAAGAGCAAATTAATTGATTATTATTATTATTATTATTGTTACTATTATTATTTTCGTTGTTGGATTTTGCGTAGTACAAAATACACGAAAATATAACAACTAGCCAAATGACTACATATGAAGCCATGCTTCTTTAACTTATGTTTTATGTAGATGCTACTGAATTCCGTTCACTTTCATCGATGTATATATATACAATTCGAGTGGTGCATGAAATGGCATTGTGTACGTTTACGTATTCTATGTAATATGTATCGAACAGACGTAAGTTTTTTGGATTAAATTTGAGGTCATGTTATCCAAATGTTATTTCAATATAGTTATTTCAATGAAGGTACGTAAACAACCCCATCCCTTTGAATGTTTTCAATTTCTATATATATACACTCGAGTGCTATCCGATTTTGGCGTCTAGTGATGATGTTTGGCCGGCCTGGATTTGAAATTTCATATGAATAATATGTGTCGGACCTAATGCGCTATCAGTAGTCCTAAATCAATCGGTATCAGAACAGACGCATACTCTAGTTTTACAGTGCATTCAACACACACAAGCGGCCACGACATTCAATTGTGGGCCGCCCGTTAACGGGCCTCCCCACGTGGACAATTGTTGCAAACTCAAGCTAACAGTAATCGAAACAATATAGAATGTGTTTCAAGATTGTAAGCTTCGTGTGTGTGTGTGTGTGTGTGTGTGTGTGTCTATATATATATATATATATATATATATATATATATATATATATATATATATATAGCGTAAGGGATTGGTTATATACTACTCGAAAATATATCACATGCATAAATAATCGGTGAGGTAAAAGAAAAAAAAAAATAATATAACTTATCTCCTTTTTTCTTTTAATTAATCTTTGAATCATGCACAAATAGTAGCTGAGTTTTACCTAAAAAGAACAAAACATGAATTTTTGAGTACAGATATGGAATTCTGCTTAAATCCAGGGAATGGAGATACGTACACATTATTGAATTATATATATAATAATATGGTGACTCTTGAGCATGGGGTTGTGTACTAAACTGACGTTGAGGAGTATGGGCTTAATTAACAATCACTATAATGTATAATCTATTATTTATCCCACTCCTTTGCTTTTGATGATTTTTTATTTTATTTTTTTTGTTTGCTTTGATGAAAGTATATATTACAATATTATTGTCTTCGATGAATTAAAACATATACTTGCGATTGCGTATGGTTTGCTCGAACGGTCGAAGAGAACGATATAGTGGAGACTACTTTTCCAGTTCAATTGTAGCATTACATGTTGATTTATATGTCTACAGAAATCAATTTTGATTTAATTGTAACAATTTACTTCTTAGGACAGTAATTTGTTGAAACTACATTATCTTATGTAGACACAGATAATAGCTATGAAAGCAGAATAAGTAATGTACGAGATTAATGTAGTTCGGACACAAAAGTGACTTACAACCACGAGGATCTGCGAAATAAGATTTTGTACATAAAATAAAAGAGATTTTGTATCCTTAAAAATGTACAAAAGTTGGTTTTGCTTTGATTGACTTAGCACACAGTATACAACTCACCAAACTATTTAAATGTTGCGTTTTTAGTTAAACAACCCACAGCAGATTAAGTGGGTAAAATATAGCTCATGTTGAATTAATAATTACTGAATAAAACAACTTGCTAATACGCGTTAAACAATCGTTAATTAATCATTTAAGAGGGGGCGGTAATTGATGACTTTTCATTCGATCGGATAAACATGCCTCCACGCGCAAAATGGATCGTATGATTATACATGCGATCGAGCTAATGTTAAATGAGTGTTGGAACTTAGAAGTAGAAATGTAATCATGTATACTGTTCGAACAAATCTGGTGTTTGCAGAAATAATTCGAAGCTGGATAATTAAGACACGAAAATTACGAACATATTATTGTAGTAACTGATAATAGAAGCTTGCGATCACTATCTTTGGATAAATCTTCTCGTGAATTGGTGAATGAAGATTAATCATCTAATTTTTCTCTCTTAATTCGATCCAAATGTACGAGGCTTGTTCGTGAAACTAACGAGTGATTTTCTTCAAAATTTGCAGAAAATATAGTATTTGTGCATGTGTGTAAGTGCAATTAGCTTCTTCTTCTTCTTTTTTTTTTTTTTTAACCTAATCAAATATTTTGCTGCTGAAAAATCTCCCATATTTTCATGGTGCTTAACTTAATTACAAGGTTTAATTAACCTCCATCATTTTCCAAACAATCCTAACAACAAATCTTGGTCTCCACCTCAAGACAAGTTCTCTAACAATTCTTCTTATTTTTTCACTAAACACCCTCTACTTAATCTTTTTACCACATTTGACCCCCGAATTTACCCTCATTACACATTACTTGCAAACACTGTACACTGAACCAATATTTAAATCTATTTTGGCACGTCTGCCTTAAGGAGGTTGAACAGATCAAATTAATTAGGTGAATTATGGTTGGCTTTCTTCTCAAATGTTTAATTACAATTTACAACCCAAAAACATTCAAGAGGAAGCTTTAATTTCTTTATATCTTGTAATTAATATTTTCCCACCTAAGTACCTAACCCTCTATATAACTAATTATATCCATAATTAATTATCTAACTTTAATTCCAAGAATATTCCCTTTTGCTCAGGATTATTATGGAAGGAGATAATAATAATTTCCCCTACTTCTTCGCCTCCTCTAATTCGTTTCCGTTGTCAACTTCATCGAATATAAACGATTCAAATTCGAATGTAGTTATGGAAAATTCCATGCAAAATTCCCAGTTCTCTACTTTTGATCATGGTCAGATTGACTTGGCTAGGCTACTGTGTGGTGCCGGTCCACTGGAAGAAACAACACCAGTTTCTCTGAATATCGGAGAAGTTGATGGGGATAGTAGTTGCAGAAACAAGTCAAGATTCGGTAGAAAGAAGAAGAATATTCCGGCAAGGGTAGCGTTTCATACAAGGAGTGCTGAAGATATTCTTGATGATGGGTATAAATGGAGAAAATATGGTCAGAAATCTGTCAAGAACAGCATCCATCCAAGGTATATTTATATATATAATTATTTGCATTATTTATATCTAAAAAATATTCTTTAATATTAACTAATTATTTAGTTCAACAATAAATAAACTGGTGATCAGCATGAACGGCATTTTTTCATAAGGACTTTTCGAGCAGTGAGTTAATTAATGAAGTTTGTTCGTTCGAATATATACAAGAAATGTTTGAAATAGATACAGAAGTTCTTCGTTTAGAACAAAAATATCAAGGCCTTGTCCGATAATAGGTTTGATTATCCTGGATATATTTATTATTTATATATATATATTTTGAACAAATATCTTGCTTTTACTCTTGTCACTAAGGAGCTATTACCGATGCACGCACCACACGTGCAATGTGAAGAAACAAATCCAGAGGCAGACAAAAGACACCACCATTGTCGTGACGACATACGAAGGAATCCACAATCATCCTTGTGAAAAACTAATGGAAACACTAAGCCCCCTTCTCAAGCAGCTTCAGTTTCTGTCGCGATTCTGAAATAAGTCGAATAAAATGAATATTAACTGTAATAACAGAAACAAGTTATGTACTGTATATGTACTGTCCTTTTTCCCATTATTGTACATTTGTTCTTACAATGAACTCCCAAATGTAGATTTTACATGTAATGAAATGAGCTAGTGATGACTGATGATTGATGGCTCGGTGGAATATAGCGACTCACTTTGGACCAGGAAAACCTTTGTACGGTCAGAATAAATTGAGTTCTGTATAAATTCTCTCTATAAGATGACTACTAAAGTAAAATGTCATGTCATCGAGTTTCAGGAATGCAGATTTTCATAAGATATGTGTCTAGTTTCGACAATTGATTCAAAATGAAATTATGGAAAAACTCGTGTGTAAACACACTTCATATAGTTCATCTGTAGACAGTCCATTTGCATATATATTATCATCATAGTATAGTTGCTTTACAACGTCAAATCTTTCACGAAAAGTAGTATAATATATAAATAAGGGAGAGAAAAAGAGAGACTTGCCGAGAAACTTATTGGTGTTTGCCGGTGCTGCTTAGATTTGGAAAATGGTAGGTGCCTAAATCATTGGAGTGTTGTAAGAGCTTTACTTTTCTTTCACCGACCCACTCAAGCTTATATGACAGGTCAAGATTGTGAATCAGGAGTTTCAACCTGTCCATTTCTGTCCAACCTTTGCTGCTTCCCTGCAAATCGAGACAATGTCGAAAACAGGTTCGTCGTTATAATTTTGTTGTGATGTCGTACTCAAGCAGCATCACAGAAGACCTTTAATCTTCTATGCGAGTAGTAAAAAGATACGCAAATTTATGGTTTCACATCAAGGAATTGCCTACTATGAAATGTAGATAATAATACACGAGCATAGAAATTAAATAAATTCAGTTTATAGAATTAGAGAAACAAAATTTAGTTGGAAATTTTAGTTTGCAATCGTATTCGACCTCAGCGATAGAAGAATATTGAAAAGATCCATATGCATGTGAAGAGAAGAAAAGTTACCGGTGAATTGACTTGTCCATCATCACTCAGTACACTAGCCATTATGCTGGACCTAGTAGAACTAGGTGAAAAACCCTCCCATGGATGAACGTATATCAGCTTCGTGAATGGAACAAGAGCAAGATTTCGGCTTAGTTTCTCCCACCACCCAGATCCTAGTGACCACCATCTAATCATCAATCCATTCTCTGAAAAAGCAACTAGCCCCTACACGAAGAAAGAACATAAGGAGGTACACGAATGAGACATGGACAAAGAAAACACAACTTATTAGCCCGGCCCGTGCCATATGCAAGCATACAAAGGCAACTTCAATCATAAAAAGGTAAAGATTATTTAGCTGCTTATAGTTATGCCTAACATTGTCCTTACTTCAATCAGAAAATTTTCCAATAAACATTAGCAGTTATGTATCAATTTAGTAAATTGAAGATTAAGTAAAAAATTTAGCATCATGATTCATGACATGCAATGCCTTAGACGAGCATCCAACTCCCGAACAAGTAATTTGAGTATTTGATACCCTGAATTAAGAATGTGTCTAAGAAGTAACCAGGCTTCCAAGTCGTTATACCTTTTGGTTAAAACGTTGGATCTTATCAAAGACGATCCACACGTTACACCTGGTATTGTACTTCTCAAAACTAAACGTACAACTCTACTAATAATGTGGTAGTTGCTCAAATCAGTTTCAAATAGTTATGTCTACTGAAGATTATCTTCCCTTGGGAGAGCGTTTAATCGTGAATTCCATGTGGATATGGCAGAAGTAATACAATTGGGTAAAATATAAGAATTTATAACTTGTGAAGGTATGAGGAGTTATCAAAGGTACCTCTCCATCTGGCGAGAAGCTAAGAACAGATATTGCAGTACTTACGGCCTTTTCCAACAACTTTGGATGTCCAGGAGGTCCACTGGCATCCAAAACCTTTATCTTGCTCATGCTACAATACAAGCCGTGAACCAAATTGTGAGGATAAGAAGCAAGCAAGATGCACATCATAAGGAGTAAAGGCAGAGAAACAGTATGATAATAACATGACCATTATGCAAGCATTACTACTATAAGCAGAAAAAAAAAACAAATGTTCTTTTGCACAAAAGAGGCAAGCCTATGCTTCATCTACATCGAAGATAATGGATTTGTATATAAGGTTTTGGAGTTACTCAAGTCTTGTAAATCAGAATCGGACCTTATTCCCACTTCATAGACTGTTGAAGACTATTTAAGCTGGTTTTCCATATAGATGCAACAAATAACGTAGTCACAGGTCAGAGCTGACGGAATAACATACATAATTCACGATATTTAAATGACTACTGGACACCAGCCTAACAGTTTTTTTTTTTGTGTGTGTGTGTGTGTGTGTGTTCAAAACAACTATTGGTGTTATTACAATCTAAACGAGTGCAGTCTGCCATAATTTATCACCTTTGCATGTCATAAACCCGAATAGTAGCGTTGTTAATCTCTCCAATTGCATCCCCAACTGCCAACCGGGTTGAGGAATCATTTAGGGCTATCATGGGAAATACACGTACAACTTCTTTCAATGCCGTCATAGAACTCTGATAGCAACTTCTGCGCATGGTTGAGTTACCAGGATCCATTGCCTGTAATATAAAACTGACCACCTGCAAACCTGTCTAGATGTTAGGATAGTAAAAATCACCGTGTCCCATCCTTGGAACCATAAAAACACACCCGTCCTAAAAGTACTGAAGATAGCCATTTTCTGAGCAATGTAAGATGCCAGAAACTCGGATGAACCTTAAGAAACAACAGCAAGTTTCAAGACAGACTTTGTAAAAGAACTCATTTTAATAAGATGAAAACTCAACATGGCACATCGACCTAAAACAGCAGATAATGTTTTGTAGTCTTTTGTACAATCATCTTCTTAGCCTCCCAAAAAAGATCAAAGAGAAGAAAGAGAATGTATATCTCAGAGTAAAAATATCAAGTTTCAGCACAACTGAATATCGATATCCAGAGAAACATCAAAGTGGTTACATTCCAAAAAACACGACATCTTTCATCTGTTTTACCCATAACCTGGAGGCTGAAAACTGATATAACTTCGATTAATCACAAGTCAAGATGAATACAGAACAATTATGCCTCCCTCCTATGTTTTATATAATTTAATTTGTTTTAGCAGTTATAGTCATTTAGTACAAAACCAGCATGTTATATAGTTTGTCGAACTTTATTTTCCAGCATGCAATATCAAGAAAAATGTAGAAAGTAATAATATTTTTCTACACACCTTGTCCAGATATGGGGCCAAATTTCTTGGAGAACCACGGATAATCCTGATCAACGTCATGAGGGCCACCACGTGTACAGGTGAATCAGATGCAGTAGACCAGATTTGGCTTTCAATTACATGCAGATATCCAGGTATGTCGGCCATTCCTAAGCTTGGAAGAAGAATCCCAACTAAAGTCTCTCGAATTTTAACAGATGCAGCAGAATGTTGTGAAGATGCATTAGCCGATGCACCACTGACACACTCCACTTGGAAAAATATGTCCCCTATCAGGCGAGGTATTTCAGAACCAATGCAAGCCTTCCACGTACTCTCCATACCTTCAGCTAAAATCTCTGATGCTGCAGCACTATATTTTTCATTTATGGACATGACCAATTTAACCAAGGGATGGACCACCATCATGGAAAGTCTTGGTTTGACAAGGCTAGGGTACCAGACAGCCAATGCAGCAGCAACAACTATTTGAGAAGTCATTGCATCCTGAGTTGTTCCCCCGACACATGAAATCCAGTCATGCACTTCATATGATTCCAGCCATGATGTTATTTCTGCTTCTTCCTCGACAAAGTCCCCTTCAGTTTCTGTTTTTCCATCATATGAAGGATGTACTGCAGTTGTACTGTCATGCTCTTTCTCTGATACTTCGTGAGGATATATTTGAGAATTTACACGTTGATTGCCTTTTGTACTGAATAGTGGAAGGGGAATAGCCCGCGAAGCAGCACAGTGAAACAAAGAACGAGCAGCCATTTTCACATGTTCAAAATCGTCCTGCCAAAAGCTTACCAAGAGCTGTAAAACAAAAATGTATTGCACCACAGAATTTAGTATCATCTCCCAGGTTTCATAAAATATTTACACCAAGCAGAAGCATGTAAAGTTACTAATAAACATAAAAGTTAAACTAGTCAGAAAACAAACCTAAACATAATCTTATATTTTTGTAGCATATACAAGCTTCTAGAAAACAATGTGCTAAACACAGTGAATGGCTTTTAATTTGAGTACTGCAAACAATGTGTTAAACAATCAAGAACGATTTTTCTCTTCAGCAATCATTTTTTATTCTAAGGATCAGTACCATAATCAACAGTTCAGATAGCTTATAACTCCCAAAATTCGAGAACAGCTCAGTTTGATGGATCGTCATTTTTATTGACAAGAAAAAGGAAAATATAACATAAATACAGTTGTTTTTAGTCATCAAGCTACAAACATGTCAGGTGGCGAAATCCACTCACTTACTGATTACAATTACCTGGAGCTGAGGAGGTTTTATATCCGAAACTTTCTCAGCAAATCTCCGTGTATAAAATGCTGCTAAAGCACTGCAGGAGGGAGAGACTTTATATTAATGACCCTGGAATTGGTAAATAGAAATCCACATGCATTATGTTACTCTGCATGAATCTTTAATAACAAATGATGCTTGAGTAAGCATCCGTACATACTGTATCAGCTCACCACAAAATAACATGCATTGAGGTGCCAATTCCCTATAATGTGTGAGAGTTATATAACTTTAAAGAAAATATTGGTAAAGTAAACAGCTGATAAATCATTTTCAGAAGAAAAAATAATAACTAAAAAAATAATGTTATTTAACACATGTTTGTTATAGTATTCAAACTGTCTTACCCACTGGCTGATGAACAAGAATGAGATAAGCTGATCAAATGCTGGGCAAGGGACACCATTGTTAATGATCTCAAGGCAGAATACTCAGATGAAGATTTCCACAACTGCCATATAAACATATTAACACCATTAGATAAAAAGTGAGTCAGGGACGAGTAATCAAATTCGATTTGTTCACTGAAGTACCTCCAGAGTTGAATTAGGACCTGGAAATGTCAGTGTCATTGAACCCCTATCCCCCAATATGCCAGAAGACACAATAAAAGAATTGGGCCGTTTAAGCTTCATTTCAGTTGTTAGCAAGTTATCAAGCTCCTCGTCGACATTCCACAAGTGCAGCAACGACAAACTGAATTGAAGTAGGCATCCTTCAAGTGAGCGCACCCATTCATGATGTTCTAATGATACAACAGTGGATTCATCTGAAACAGAACCGCTTTTCCCAGTTACATTATTTGGGCTAGACATCTCTGAACCCAGTTCCTCCAAAGAAGCATTTGCCCTCTTGTGCACATCATCTTTTGGTGTGCTAGTTCCAGCTCCATTACCATGATCTTTTTCTCCAATGTGACTACCGCCTTCGAATAATTCATTCGTAGAACAAAGTGATATCAAGGAAGTGAGATCGAAACACAAGGTTGAAACTCCAGGAAAAGGACAAGAACTTTTGATTGGGTGCTTGTCACTTTGGAAGAACACCGATGTGAGCCCACCTGATTTTGCACCAGTGCCTTTTACAGAATTCGATGATTCAGGTGTCTTTGGTTCAATTTTACTCGCCGTATTTTGAGGATAAATCCCCTTGCCCGGAACTTTGGAATTTGTTGGCTCGATCACTGGAAATACCAAAGACGAAGCTGAAGTATTTCCGTTCATCAAATTGCCAGACAGAAGACTTTCATTGATAGCTTTATGAAAATGATCAAACATGGAATGCGCAGCATCTCCACGAAGAACCCGCTCACGAGCACCTGTCTTTACATCCCAAATGTATAAAATGTCGAGCGCATCAGCTTTGTCTGAACGGTTTGGACACAGACATGCAACATAATTTCTTACACCATCCCACAGGACTTTTGCAGGAAAGTACAGGTGCCCAGGAAACAATCTCTCCACCTTCAAAGTCTGAAGTGAAACTAGGGCGACACATGAGTCATCCCCAACAGTTAGAAAGCAATCATTCCATGGGTATTCACTTTGACATGGAGGAAGAACTATTTGACGAACTGGAGCTACATGTTGATGCAACACCATAATGAGATTACCAGAGTCGAGATCCCACAGGCGTACTGTGCAATCCGTACTGCCTGACAACAAAACGTGATTTAAACTACTTCCTCCAGACTTGCTCACCATTTGATGTGAAGCTAAACATAGCACTGCACTTTTATGCCCTGAGAGATGTTGCTTCTGTCCTTGTGAATCTGCTTCCTGAGGCACACTTTCTATAAGTGAATCCAGTGCAGTGAAGAACATGTGAAATCTAATGATTTCAATATCACCGTTGAAGAATCCATAAACAATGGCCGAAGGTGCTAGATGGTTTTCAGATATAACCATTGACGAAGATACTAGTTGACCTCCTCCATAAGTAGCATATCTGGAACTACTCGAGTGCTTACCATCTGTGTCTTCTTCGACAATACCATGGTTAGTATTAGACGAAGAAGAATCCATAGCCCAATCATCGAAAAGATTACCCTCCCCAAACATTGCACACTCTAAATGGAGCTCCCCACATTCATTGTTTTGCTGAGGCAAAAGCCAGATAGTAACATGAGGTCTCCAGAACTCATGTTCCTTGACATGAAAGCAAATTGACTCAACACGAAGCAGATACTTGGTTAAGGGTATGAAAGAAAAAGACAGTCTCGTGTCAGAAGGATACAGTACAGCTGGGATGACAGATAGAGGATCAGACTTGAATACACTGCCCGAATATGATATCCTGTATATAACAGCTGCACCTCTATTATTCCATGCTACAAATTCTTTCACAAAATCATTATTTGAGATACTAGTATCATCTCCTAGGAATATACCACCTATTACGTTTAACTTGTCTTCAAAACACAGTTGATGATTCAAAAAAGATATCTTGCCAAAAATAGTTCCAGTTTCCGCCTGCCTAAATGTGCAATGTGTCCTATGAACAAGGGCCAGAACATAACCACACTTTGAAAAGGCCACTAGAGACCCCTTCTCTATGGTGCCATCCTCCCAGTCCATCACTTCTAAAGTAGAGAAATTCTTTGATAGAAGAGGCGCATTTTGACCTTTTTGGTCAGGGTCCTTCACTACTGGTAAATATATTACCTTACCAAATAAATCGATAACAATTACCGACTGCTTCTCCATGTCTTCCGAAGGCAAAACTACAGCCATGGAAAGCAAAGGTCCAATAGGCACGTTCCCATGGAGCACACTTTGTACTATTGAAAGATCAAACGAGTCAATGATTATGACTGTACACTTTGAAGGATTGGGGTTTTGAAATTCTCTGTCAACTGAAGACTCGTTTCCTTCTAGAAAATAAGGTGATTGATGGTCTTGGTTAACAAAATAACAGGTAATACATACATATCTAGCATTGTCTCCCACTGGCCTAATCATGAATGGACTCCCTGCCCAAGGAGGAAGTTTCCTTCTTCGCCTACAGTGACCACTTGCTCTGCTCCAAACACATAATACACCGTCACTGCAAGCACTTATTAGTGCGCCACAGTTATTTGAACTAGGATATGATAGCGTATTACTCGAACTAGTCAACTTTCCATTTTCAGATGCCTCTACGGGAAAGCAAATCCCGAGATCAGCTATTGGGGCAGCATGACCACATAACAGTGCAACAGGTTTCATTTCCTGATCAACAAACATGCATTTTAATAATGATATAAAAACTGTGTTCACTGGTCACTGAAGCACAAAAGTAAAATGACAGTTGAGTACATATATTTAAGTACTTCAAAGCCCTGTTTGGTTTGCAAGTGTTTGAAATAAAGAATCTATGGTTCATGATCTCAAAATATTCTAAAGATTGCTAGTCTTAGTAAATTTCTGCAGCTTCAACATGGAGGCTAATGTGTAGAAATGACAAAAGTTTCATTCGAGAGAACAGTAATTCACCCCCATGATTTGGACATGTTAAGTTTAAACTAAACACCTAAACCCTCTAATTGTATCACTAAGCTGATTAGCATGAATTATTCCACATAGATCCTATTACTTAATCAACATCCAACAACTATCTGAAAGGCTAAACCAGTCATACAAAGAGATACATAATGGATGGAAGAACGTTTCATTTCATTTCAAAGCTTCAATTTCATAATACATGGGGCTATTTTACACCATTCGTCCCCATACAATCACACAAAATCGGCAGTTCTTTATGGTGAGATCTTACAGTGAAATTCACTAGATATAGCATAGAATAAACCTCCACTCGACTACATATCCTAAATGGGAGAAGAGAAAAGAAAAGCACATTCTCACCATTACATGTCTACTGATAAGCCAAACGTATTTAAATCAACAGCCAAAACACATTCAATTGAGATCAAACGCAATTGAAGTAAAAATTGCATAAACTTCGGCAATATTATACATGTTAAATCTTACGGAACCGAGAACACTATAAATTAAGTCAGTGATATAGAAACTAAGCGCATTCATATAATCAAATGAGAAAGAAATGTATGTACGAGTAAATGGAAAAGCTGATTTGACAATTTTCCTTGTGGAATTATTAGTATAACAGGTTAGAGGAATCAGTGGAACTAGTATTACCGATTTTCCGGGAGAGGAAACAAGGTTCCACCAGATGATGGAGCCATCGGATCCGCCGGTGTAGAGAGTGGGCGGTTCGTTGAGTGCGGCGACGGCGGTGACTCGGTGAACCGGTGGCGAGCGCGACCATATGCAGGCCAGCGACTTACACTTCATCGGCTAACCAATTTCTGAACCGGCGACAGACCGCCGGTTGTAAACTCGGAAGGGATTTGTCTGGGAGGATCAACAAATCGAGAGTGATGACATCGGAAAAGCGCAAATTGGAATTTCAAAAAATCGATATGTTAAATTATAGCGATTAATTGATGGACCCTCATTAGAGAACTAATTAGAGAAGTAATATAATAATTGTCAAGGAGATTAGTAACACTCACATTTTCCTTGAATTTTAGCTCTCTGGATCATTTGAAGTACCTAAAATGCCCATTTTGAGACAATTTTAAATAGCACGTTGTTTGTTTGCCTTATTAATAAACAACCGTATACCGATAATTTAATAACGCTTTTAATTGTCTCATGCCTCGTTTGCTTTAGTGCTATTAAACTTTATTAACTAAAATGCTCCTTCTGAATCAGTTTCAAACAACACGTCGTTTGGCTTGTTAATCAACAACCGTAGACAATGATGATTTTAATTGTCTCATGCCTTGTTTGCTTAGGGCTCGTTCGGTTACCGATATTGGATTAGATTGGATTACATGAGATTGGATTAACTCCCTACTGACTAATTAATTATTTAGTTAGTAGCATGTTCGGTTTCTTAGATTAGATTTTCTATTAAATTTGTTAAAATCGGTTATTATATATGAATTGTCTATAAAACCACTTAGTTTACAATAATAAAATATGATTTTAAGGATAAAATTGTATTTTTTCTTTTTAGTCACCCCCTATTAAATTAATCTTAGGGGGAGGGGTGCTACTAATTTAATGAAATAGTAGCATTTAATAGCGGGCTTTAATTTTAGTAGCGGGTTTGAAAAAGTGTGAATCTTACCAACCGAACATGTTATTAGCCCCTACTATTTAGTCAGTAGAACCTTATAGCGGTAACCGAACGAGCCCTTAGTGTTATTAAGCTCAATTAACTAAATAGTAGGGTTTACTAAGATGTTGGATTGATAAGATTCGTGTTTAGTAAAGCCCGCTATTACATTTAAAATATGTAATTAAATGTTATTATTTGGTTAAATTACTAGCCCATCCACTGCAATTAATTTTTTAGGAGGTGGTTAAAAAAGGAAAAGACAATTTTATCTTTCAAACAATATCTTATTTTTTGTTAATTAAAAACTTTTAGACAATTCACATTTAATATCATAATTTAACAAATTTAGTACAAGATTTAATCTAACGAATCAAACCTCTTAGGGCTTGTTCGGTTACCTATATTGGATTAGATTGGATTACATGAGATTGTATTAACTCCCTTCGGACTAATTAATTATTTAGTTAGTAGCATGTTTGGTTTCTTAGATCAGATTTTCTATTAAATTTGTTGAAATCGGTAATTATATATGAATTGTCTATAAAACCACTTGGTTTACAATAATAAGATATGATTTTAAGGATAAAATTGTATTTTTCCTTTTTAGTCACCCCCTATTAATTTAATCTGGGGGTGCTACTAATTCAATGAAATAGTAGCATTTAATAACCGGCTTTGATTTTAGTAGCGAGTTTGAAAATGTGTGAATCTTGCCAACCGGACATGTTATTAGCCCCTACTATTTAGTCAGTAAAACCTTATAGCTGAATAAGTAATCTAATCTCCACCTAATGAAATGTAATCCGATATAGATAAGCAAACGAGGCCTCAATATATTTAATTATACGACAATTGTGTATAAAAAAAATCGGAATTTCATTTCGATTTTCAAAAGCAAAACATCATGAATCTGATTGAGAAATGTATCAAGAAAACATCTGATCAAGTACTAACACAATAGCCATGGCGAATCCGGATTCAAATCCCGGCTTAACTAACAAATTAAAAACCTCTAAACCATACGAAACACCTTCTCCCGTGGCATCTTTCCTCTTTATCTCTCCGACAACATTTCTCGACTCGTCGAAAATCTTGCACGATCGAGTCGTGTACGACCCTTCGACCACGTATTTATGTTGCCTATTATCACTATAAACATGTGCAAGCACATTGCGTTTTTCGTGTGATCTGACGATGCGTGAATAATTATTATTGTTTTTACAGTATTTAGTAACTTCTCCTTCATAGATAAGCCAGTAGTAATTGTTCATTAGCCTCAGCCCCCTCTGCAAATTAAATTAATCATCATAACAAATTAATAAAATAAATCATGAACACAAATAAAACAAATTCTTGCAATATATTTAATATATTATATATACCTGGCGACGACGGATTGTGAAAATGGGATTGCCCGACCCGTCCATAAGGACAACCGGGTTGGGTCGACCCGAGTAGTTGTCGACCCGATAAGCTAAACTGCCGTTAGAGCCAATAACGGTGAATCCGTTGCAACTGAGAAGAAGTGATTTTCTCCAAACTGTTAGAGAAACGAACGCTTCGTTACCATTTTCTTGATCGTGATCATGAAAATTGTGGACCGTTCTTGATTTTGATTTGAAGAGGAAATTCATTCTGCTATCGAACTCTTTTTTTTTTTCGTCGTCAAATTATTATTTTTTTGTCATTTTATTATGAAGGTCTAGGATATTTTATAACACTTTATTTATGAATTAAGGTTGTCTGAGATATTTATAAGCTAAGGTGGAAAATGTAAATAATGTACGTACACGCACGCGCTTTCGTCTAATATGCTTTTTCTACTGTTTTTAGGCCAGCATGTGCACTTGATCTGGAAATTCTAGTTAGATATTGAGATGAATTATTATGATAAGCGAATAATATATTTATATTCATAATTAACATATAGTTTAAGAAGAATAATATTGATCAATTTGTAATTAAATTATATTTTTGTAATTAGCGTATAATTCGAGGAGAATATTCATCGTTTTATAAAATTACGTCGATTAACCATCTCATTTAAGTAGTTAATTAGGTTCGGTCAAATTAGATTTAAGCAAGTTGTGTGTTTTCATGCATGCTTTGATTATTATTATTTTTTTCGATCGGAGCCTGCAAACGCTTATATACGTGCAATGAGTAAATTTTGTTTTTTCGAGCGATGACTCGATCGTAAACTTCACGAGAAGTGTAAATCGCACTAATTGAGCTTTGTGCAATGACAAGAAGAACTAATCGTACTCGATTCCATTAGACATTTGCGTTTTTCTTAGTCAACCAATTAAATCATCCCCATTAGGCATTATGTCAAGATTTTGAAAGTACTAGTTTACCTAATATTAGATGACGTGTGGTCAAACATCTATAGGGAATCATTTAAATGGTGCTTTGCAAGTGTGTACTTTGGGTGCTAATCAATATTTAAGGAGTAAATATCACATTGCTCTCCAAACTATATCTCAATTTGCACTAGGGATGGCGATGGATACGAATTTATCGAGTCTCGGACCCAGAACAGACCATTTTGGAGCGGGTTTGGGTAAGCTAAAGGGTTTTGAGTCAGGTAATGGATTTTAGTTTCTATAATCGGATGATTCTAGTGGGGTTGCAGTTCTTATTCAAGCCGACCCCGTATAATTAAACGGGAGGGGGTGGTCTGGATTTTATATATATTTTCATGGGTCAGATCTTGAGTTTAGACAAACCGGCCCCATAACCTACATGTTGTCATCCTTAATTTGCGCCTTACTATCTCAAGTTTGCGATTTTTTTCGTCAAATTTGGTTCAAACATTGAACAAGCGACTCTCACATGAGTTTACATGCTACACATCTCAAACACTACAGATTATTCGTGAAAACGAAGTTTACCCGGTGCACACATGTATACAACACAGATGTGTGTATGTAAATGCCAACCCAAGAATCACAAAAGAAAGATACTTTCCCATAATTAGTCAAATCTTTAACTATATGTAATAAAGAGAAAAAAGGGACCTTTATGCTAAAACTCTTGTGCAATTCTTGCATAGACACGTAGGCCCATATTAAATATGAATTTAGGCTATCTAATTATAATGTATTACATCAAGATATTATTCCCTTAATACCTCAATTTGGACACAAGGACAATAACACAAGATCAATTATGTATGTATTGTATACATTTATAGGGTATTTGCTGATTTTTGCCAACCTGAGTTTGATTTTGGTCTGACTGTATTTTTCTCTTCATGCTTATTGGGTGGTCAAAGACAATGCAAGTATATATTGGTCTCTTATACACTGATTGAGATCCGAATTATATATTTTTATTACTCGAATTTCGTCGATTAATTGCGAGACACCTACAGTAGAACCTCGATAAATTAATAGCCTTGTTTAAATAATTATTTCTTCTGGTCCCGATTCTGTAAAAGTATTCTGAATTATTAGCTCGATAGTTTAATATTTCGCTAAATTAATAGTCCATACTGTATTAATTTCTACAGGTTTACCTGTAACTTGCTGTGGAGTTTGTCCGTAAGGAAAATTCGGATAAGTCACACTTTCTATACCGTGTAAATTAATTTACCGTGTAAAATATATATATATTTGCAAATATTTTTTAAAAATAAATCATATTTACTTTATTAAACACCACAAATTTAGTAAAATCTGTTAATTTAATTAGACGAAGGAGGCCCACTGAAGTTGTCGCTGAATTGGGTTTGGCACAAAGCCCGTTTCACAGGCCCAAAAAGAAAAGGATTAAATAATCCAAGCTAATAGGATTAGAAAACCAAACATCTGATTAATTTAATCTTAATTCAGATGGAGATCAATGATAGATTGTTTGTATTTTTTTGTGTTATGTTGATACATCTGTTTCAGTAGAAGTACATTTTTTTTTTTAATTTTTTTTAATTTTAAATATTAACCATCCACTTCAATTAATTTGCACCTCGTAAACATTCTTATGTATTAAACATTCCAACATATCAACTAAAATAAAAAAAACTAACACATTTTATAAAATCCGATAGATAACATGATTGAACAACACAAATGTTAAGATTTCTGTATATACTAAAATTCGTTCTGCATTTATCATTTCAGTTATCGAGAACAAACTATTATTCCCGCCTCTGGGTGATTTTTTTTTTTTCATGTTATTTTTCTCCCATCAATTTCAATGGTCCTTTTCTTTTCTTTTCTTTTATTTTAATTATTTTACTTATTTATTATTTTATTTTTTGAATTGGGGTTTGGCACAGTGTCCTTGTAATGGAATAAAGCATGTAGTGTCTGCCATTAAATTTAAATTGTGAGGTATGTCTCAATAAACCACATGTCTCTACTTCATGCTATCTATCTTACTTTAATTTTTCCCTCTTTCAAATTATTTTTTTAATAATAGATTATGCGTATAAATTGAAACCTCAATTTAATATTGCAATGGTTCAATCATTTTCTTTTGAGTCATTAATTAAACTAATCCACCATACTTTTGATTAATTAATAAATGCATTGACTTTTTGTATCAATATCCCAATCTTTTAATTATATTTATTATTAAGGGTGGCATTTTTTTAGCTAGTGGAATTTGGTCACGTATGACGTTCACTATGAAATGATTGATTTAATTATAAATTCAATTTTATGTATGTGTTCGTGAATCTTTCTGATTCTCTCTCTCTCACTTCGACCGTCAAAAATTGATCGGTATTCCATCAGATGCAGCATCTCAATTACCCTATTATATATATATTACTTGTACGCTTTTATTTCGGTGTTTATTGGGATCCAAAACACTACAATAACTTCATTATTTTTCACGATAAAAAATAAAATAAAAAATCAAGTAGTCGAGTGTGTTCGAATTGAATATATTCTTATCTGACCTCCTTGATTTTAGGTGGTGTTTGCAAAACTTTTCTTTTACTCTCTTGACTCCAATTACAACTATTTATATGGTGTTTGCAGAAGTTTTTAGAAATAAATTATCCGTTTTTCTCTGCATATAATATGTTTTTAGGTGTTTGAAAAAAAAAAAAATTGCTATTACTTCTCTTAAAATAAGTTGTTTTAAGCTATAATTTTAAAATAATCAAATGTACATGATTTTTCTCTTTAAATTGATTTTCCACCCCTAACGTTTAGAAATACTCATTTAATTGCAACTTAACTCAGGTGGTGTTTGCAAAAGCTTTTTGAAAGTGATTATGAGCTTTTTTTTGCTCATAATCTGTTTTCCGGTGTTTGCAAAATCAACTTTTGTTTTTGCCTCTCTTAAAATAATCTGCTTTTAGGTGTTTTTTTTAAAAGAACCCCTAACCCTGCCTTTTCTATTTAAGTTCATTTCACGGAATAATTGCAAACACCCCCAACTTTTAGAAATAAGCACTTAAAACTGACTTAACTCACATTCACTAACTTCTGCTTTTAAATAACTGTTTGCAAACACCACCTCAGAATCACTAACGTCTACTTTTAAAGAAGCTTTTGCAAACACGACCTTACACTTATTTTAGGTGGACATTTCAAGAAGTTTCAATTTTCAAATACGTGATTAGGACCTCTATAAGTAGGACATAATTAATTAGTCAATTAACCCATTTGATAAAACGACCACCCGGCCCGGCCCACTGTTTGAGCTATATATATGGTGTAAATGTTCTTCACTCTTATTAGTGAGAAAATGATTGTTACAACGAATTTTCCCACTCCTCATTTTCCAAGTGTATAATTAATTATTTAATGGAGATCAACGTTTTCTAATGGAGAATATTTGTTAGCTTTGCGTGGAAGTCTTAAATTCTTAATTAGATCAACTAATTATGCACTAATGACAATCAATCCCATGGAGAGCAATCTCTTATTTTAACATGACATGTATAAGTTTACATTATGTCTATGAGATGCAACACCTGATGAATCACGCATTGACTGATTATACACCGTAGATTTATATAAATATTTATTAAGGAGACATACACATATGTATATGTGTTATTATTTATGTATAAATCAATGGTGTGAAATAATCTAATGTATTTCACCGAGTGTAATATCTACAAAACCATCTATATGAAGTAGATGAGATTTTTATGTGGGGAAGAAATTTTTTTATAGGCCAATATTCACTTAAGAAAATTGGAAGATTGGTTATTTGTGAGTCAATTTGGTTAAATATATATAAATAACTACGTATTATATAACTTCAATTAAAATGGTAACATAAATTAAGATATATTTTGCTTAATCTATAAAAATCTACAAATTCGAGTTTATAGTAATTTATAAAAAAAAAAAAATTACGCATGTAACTTAATTTTGAGTGAAATATTATGCTCCTTTCTTGTAAATAACACCAGAAACTAGAGAATAAAAGTACAGCATTCGTTCCATAATATTTGTTTTTTTTGAGAATTTCTTTTGTTTCATACTTTC